ACAGTGACTTGGAGTAGATTCCTTAGTGCCTCTTACCCTTTTAGCCCATCTCCCCTCCCACAACCCCTCCCGTAACCCTCAGTTTGTTCTCCATATCTATGAGTCTCTTCTGTTTTGTCCCCTTCCCTGTTTTTATATTACTTTTGTTTCCCTTCCCTTATGTTCCTCTGTTTTGTCTCTTAAAGTCCTCATATGAGTGAAGTCATAGGATTTTTGTCTTTCTCTCATTTCGCTTAGCATAATACCCTCCAGTTCCATCCACGTAGTTGCAAATGGCAAGATTTCATTCTTTTGGATTGCCGAGTAATACTCCATTGTGTATATATCCCACATCTTCTTTATCCATTCACCCATCGACGGACATTTGGGCTCTTTCCATACTTTGGCCATTGTTGATAGTGCTGCTATAAACATGGGGGTACATGTGTCCCTTCAAAACAGCACACCTGTATCCCTTGGATAAATGCCTAGTAGTGCAATTGCTGGGTCGTAGGGTAGTTCTATGTTTAGTTTTTTGAGGAACCTCCATACTGTTTTCCAGAGTGGCTGCACCAGCTTGCATTCCCAGAAATATACTAGAATTTTTAAATGTGGTCCTGTCCTCAAGGAGTTTGAGTCCAGCAGGGGAGAGAGAGCAGATACATGAAATAAAAAACAGAGGCGACATGTTGTGACAATTACGTGCATCCCCTGGGAGGCCTGAGTGGGACCACTGATTCCCGGTGCATGTGGGAAGGTTGGCATAATCCTAGCATCCTTCTTTTGAGGGAGTCGATAGTGATTTCCAAGACAAGCCTATGCTACTCTGAAGAGTAATAGTGCCCTTTGTTTTAAGGAAAAGCTGAGACAAAGAGAGTGGCAAGTGGCTGGTCCACAGCTAATCAGCAATTTAGGACCAGAGCTGAAGCCAGAACCCAGGGATTCTCACCAATAAAAACAAGCAGCCCATCTGGAAAAAAAAAAAAAGACCACACAGTTTAATGAGAAACTTGTCATCTAGTGTAAATACATTTATGAAATCGAGTTTGCTTCCAGTTTTTCAACAGTAAAAGGGCTGATATTTTTGGCAGGTTATCTAGCCTCTTAATATCTCTGTTGACTTTTTTTTTTAAGTTTATTTGTTTTGAAAGAGAGTGCACATGTGTGGGGGGGGGGGGCAGAGGGAGAGAGAAGCCCAACGTGGGGCTCGATCCCACGACCGTGAAATCATGACCTGAGCCAAAATCAAGAGTCGGCCGCTCAGCTGACTGAACCACCCTCCTACCCTCTTGTAAAATATAAAACACGGTTGAATGAAATCTCAGGGTCTAGACCAGCTGATCTCGCCACTGTCTTGGAATGTTGAGAAGAGCTGACCCATGAACCAGAGGTCCGGGCCAGGGCACGGGGCCTGCGGGCGTCAGGGACATGCAGCTTTGTCTGACCCTGCTGACGAGAATGTCCTGCCTTCCTTCCAAGTCATTTGATGGAAGTTTCTGGAAAGACACACCAAGGAGACGGGGCTTGATCTTGCTTCAGAATTCTGACATCTCCTGGAATTGCTCAGGATGAGCCCTAAATATAACGAGAGAGGTGTGGCTGACCGGACTCCTCACAAGGACAAAGAAAAAGGAAGTCAAGGGTTGCATGCAGATGGGCTGTGAGAAGTCACCTTTCTCAGAGAGGGAAGGTGGCAATGGAATTTTACCAGGAATATCTTCTAATCAACACTGCCCTCCAGTTAAATCAAAGGGTAATTGCTTTTCTGCCTGACCCACATTCTGCGCACTTGGCACGGAGGGAAAGAGGCAGCAAGCGCCCACACGAATTATTTTCTAAAAATAACTTGGCCGCTTTTATCTCTGATTTGTAAAAGCTCATTTATTAGTGTTCCTTCTGATACAGCTCTCTCTCTCTGAGGTCATTTGGCTTTCCCTGAGCCCCCCCCTGCATACCTTTTCTTGCCTGCCTTCTGTCCCCAGGACCGTTCACGGTTCCACTGAGGCAACAGAGGTCTAGAGAAGGAAAGTCATTTGGACAAGAGCACGCAGCAAGCCATGCTTGGGAGAACTCCTAGGTCTCCTCCCTCTGCTGGTTCTCCCTTTGATTCCGACCTGCAAATGCCTGTCTGTGCTTCGCGTAGTTTTCCGTGTTAGGGACTGCGTTGGGCCGTGCCCGGTTTATATGCCGAGCGACAGAAATCTGAGGAAGGACAAAAAAGCACACGTGGCTCCAGATCCTGGCTCCATCCCTTCAGCAGTTGTTAGGTTCACTTTCACAGCTTCTAGAACGCTCCCGTCCTACGTTGTCTCCTGCAGACAACGGCAATAGTATTTTGCTGGACTGTTGCTGTCGTGCAGGCTACAAAAGAAGATGATAGAAGGGCCATAATATGTAGCCCCGGGTGGGTGCAAGACAGAAGTGTTGCAGCTCCTGCTGTGCTAGGAGCATAAAGAGCTTCAAAGGCAAGGATGTTAGGCTCCTACCCCACGTAGGGTTGCAGCTGCCCTGCACGAGGGGAGGAACAAACTCGAGATAGACCCCACAATTCTTGCAGGTCAGTGGTAAACATAAAAGAGTATAGGGGCGCCTGGGTGGCTTGTTCGGTTAAGCGTCCAACTCTTGGTTTCGGCTCAGGTCTTGATCTCACAGTTCGTGGGTTCGAGCCCTGCGTCAGGCTCTGCGCTGATGGCACAGAGCCTGCCTGGGATTCCCTCTCTCTGCTCCTCCCCCGCTCGTGCTGTGTCTCTCTCAAAACAAAGAAACTTAAAAAACAACTTGAAAAAGAGTATAATGGAGTGCCAGACTAGGCATGTCTCCCGGTATCTCTCAAACGTAGGCTTTTTGCACGAGCTTTTGAATGGGCTGTGGGGACATGGGCACGAGTTATAATTTTAGATTTGCTGCAATATCTTAATTATCGTATTGCTTATTCAATAAATCGAAGCTCCTTGTCGCCTAACTACCCTAGGACACAAGGTCCTAGGACACAAGGTCTCCTATGCTCCTTTGCTGTGCCTCGATTTCCCTGGAGGTAACCTGGAGACAGAATACTCACCCTGCCCCCGCCAAGTGATAGGGGGAACAAGTGTTCTGAAGTCACTTTGAGTTTCTCAAAGGAAAGACACTTCTGGGCCAAAGGCATAATTAATTAGTCAAAACTATGCTGTGCTTGAGGATCTAAGAGAAGTTTCGACTTGTTCCCCCATGACTCGGTGCCTCTCTCCACCCTGTTCCGGGAAAAGGAGTGTTCCTTTTGGTGGATCATCGCATACCTAGTTTAAGAGAGTTTTTCTTTTCTTTCCGCAAGCTGTTTTCACAACGAAGCAGAAACTACCTCCCTGGCTAGTTTGGAAATGGTGGTTTGAGCACGAACGTGGCAGAGGACAGGGGAAGGAGCAGGAGGCCACCAGGGGCAACGATCTGGAGCTGAAAGATACTGGAAAAGAAATAGGGAAAGAAACAGGGGCCCCAAGCAAAAGGAAAATCAGAATCCAGCGGTACCACGGAGTCCTGTGCATTTTTATTTGCATTCTCTGAGGAAAAAAAAAAAAATCACCTTTTTGCCAGTGCCTTTCCTTAGAGACTTCCAGAAGGAAGTTCCATGAAACACGTTCCGATGTGTCACCTTGACAGACACAGAGAGAGCTGATTAGCTCACGAGCACACAGTCCGGGGGATCAGGCGAGAAGGGAGATCAGGTGTCCTGGTTCAATAGACATAATGATGTGCCTTCTGGATACAGGCTCCGTCCTAAAGAGTTTCCTTAGATGGTCTCATTAACTGTTATAATCCAGGCATTAGGTTACTGATGAGAAAACAGAGGCCCAAGTTAACAGCCTGAAGGTGGAAGCAGAATGGTTAGCCTGCCAGGAATGACTTTGGAACTTCAGGAAAGTCTGTTAAAGTATCTCCATCTCAGTGTCCCATGTGAGATAAATAGGATAGAAATGTCTTCCTTACAATTGAGGACCCTTGCTGTTAATGAGAAATCAGGACGATGTTTTTCCAAAATATCTTCGTGCCCATGCTGTTTGTGTCTACCGGGAAAGGATGCAAAACATCAAGTGCGTCAGCCAAGCAGTATGGCCTCTGGTTGGCTCTGAAGGCTCTTTATGAGCCCAGAGAAGAGACACGTGGTTTCCATCTGGTTGCCGGTGAAAGCTGGTTACACAGACGTACTGTATACGCTGATGGCTGTGAAAGATATTTTTCTTTCAAGGTCTTTGTCGAAAACGTAGGTTTAGGGGCGCCAGGGTGGCTCAGTTGGTTAAGCATCGGACTTCGGCTCAGGTCATGATCTCAAGGTTTGGGAGTTCGAGCCCCGCGTTGGGCTCTGTGCCAACTGCTGGGAGCCTGGAGCCTGCTTTAGGAGTCTGTGTCTCCCTCTGCCTCTCTGCCCCTTCCCCTCCCCCTCAAAAATAGACATTAAAAAAAAAATTTTTTTTTAATGTAGGTTTAAAGAAAGCTCCTTGAAGGCAGAGACTGCCTTGTTTAAGCCCCAGAGTGACTTATAAGGGGAAATGCGTCGGTCCCAAAGCCTTCCTACAGGAGAGTGTCTGCACCCAGACCGTCTGTAACCCCCATACGGAAGACTGGCTTTCCATGAGTGGGGTTTCAGGTGTCTATTAGGGTGCCTACCGTAGATGGAGAAGGGGAGATAAGTCCAACCCCATTTGTATAGCAGCTTAGTAGAGCGCCTACGGGCTTTCAGATAAATTTTAGAAAACTATTTTGAATCCTGAAAGGAAGAAAGGCCTGCCTGAAGGGAAGTCTGGAACCATCCAGCAGGACCAGGCACACATCTACAATACCTTGGGGGGGAGACATGCTTTCGGATCGGAGTGCAAATCTACTCAGAGCCTGCAGACCCCAGGGGCGCCTGCAACGTCCGCATCTGGAAGCAGGACACGCAGACGTGCCCCGGAGGCGCTCAGACTGGGCCTCACTCCTCCCTCTCCTCCTCTCTCAGACGCTCCAGGTGATCTACCCGTACACCCCACAGAATGACGACGAGCTAGAGCTGGTCCCTGGGGATTTCGTCTTCATGTCTCCGATGGAGCAGACCAGCACCAGCGAGGGCTGGATCTACGGCACCTCCTTAACCACGGGCTGCTCCGGACTGTTGCCGGAGAATTACATCACCAAGGCCGACGAATGCAGCACCTGGATATTTCACGGGTAAGCAGACTCACGTTCTTCACCTGCTGCTTTGGGAGACCACCACGGGCTGTGGGCAGATGGTGGGGAAACAGGCTCAGGAGATGGGAGGAAAGCTGTTGGTTCAGGACGTTCAGGGAAGGGCCGACCTGGGGCATGGGAAAATGAGGGATGGGTGCGCTCCGCTTCTCGCTGCCTGCCCCATTTGATGGAACGGAGTTCCTGGTCAGAGACTCAACTGAGGCAGCTTGGGGGGGGGGGGCACGCGCGGGGGTCCATCTCCCTGGCTGTGAAGCATGGGTCATCCCAGTGCTTTTGGGGCTCCTGTCCGCTCTGTCCTGGGCCGTTGCTCAAGAGTGGTCTGACTCCCCAGAACCGCTGGGCAGGTTCCCAATATGCCAGCCAGGCCGGCAGTGGAAGGCTTTGCAAGGGTCAGGAGACCTAACTGCCCCTCGCTTGCTAGGTGGCCTTGAGCGAGTCCTCCGACGTGGCGCATAAGCACCTAGAGAGAGAGACCGTCTAAAGAAATGGGCAACTGCCAGAACCGTAAAAAGACAGGCGGGGCCCCTAGTGTCCTCTAGAGTGGCAACTTTCCACCCCTCCCTCACGTGGGGTTTGCCCCCAAACCAAACTGGTCGCTCGGTCAGCGTGGCCCGTGCTGTAGGGCCAGCTTTGCCTCGGCAGATGAAACGGGCACAGGAGGCACCTTCTCTTTCTTAATCGGAGACGCTCAAAGCCAGCCAGCCCTTCCCTAGCACACGCAGGCGTCTCGCCAGGGTGCGCCTGCTGATTTGTTTTTCCTCTCTCTTGTTCTTGCTCTGTGCCAACGTGGCTGAGAGCCGGAAGCTCTGAGCACCAGCTGCGTGGTGCGTCTAACATCGTTATTACCGCCATGGAAGAGAAGGCGAGAGGGGCACTTTCAGGGAGCGCGTTGCCCGGAGGGAGAAAAGGAAAGGTTCTCTCCCCCCAGTCAGCAGCAAGCAGGCAAACCACAAACCCAAAGATGGGAGAGAACACCTTCCTCCTTAACAACCCCCTACCCAGCAATTCCTTCCGCTTCCTTTTGGTCCACCC